TCATTTTTTAATTATCTATTGTTTACTTAATACTTATTTTTCTTAAAACTGCATTGTTGGTTAAGGGCTTGTAAGTAAGCATTTCACTGTAAGGTCTACCTACACCTGTTGTATTTGGCGCATGTGACAAATACAATTTGATTTGATTTGAGTGGTTTGGAAGGAATCGGTGACAGTGGCTAACTGCAAGCATTGCAAAGCAATCACTAGCCTGCTATTCAGTGGAGTGGCTGTGTGGTCCCAAATCTGGGATTAAGGGGCTCTTTTCCAAATTTAAAATGATAAACATTCAATATCAGCCATGCTGTCAATGAAGCATGATTTGTGCCGCGCTCAAAACAACTGTTAACTCGGAACTGCGAAAACTTGACTTCCAGTGAGTTGAAGACAACTGGGAAGTCGGGAATAAACGAGCTCCGACTGGGAAAATACGTTTTGAACGGTCATCCAACTCGGAATTGTAAATCCGGCCTCTTTCTCTTTCTTTGATGACAAAATTTGCCAATGAAGGACCGCCGAGCCACCTTCCTGTTCAAGTGAGCGCAGCACAACAAGGTGAGTCCAAAAAGGTATTGTATGCTGCTGCATAAATTATGTAATAGGCCAGGGAGATATGTATACTGTAGCTAAGAAAGTAATACTAAGTGTATGTTGTGTAGTAAGATGTTAGTAGCCCATGTGCCTCATCCTAATAATTTGGTCTATTTACCCCTCTTAATTTATTTTGCCAACTGTTCTGACTTGGTGGTGCACATGTAGACTTATAACCTGTTTTAGAGAAATGTAATCATCAAATATTGTAAGAGCTTTCATTGTCTGCTTATATGCACCCTTTATTTATCCTATGGTTCTGACTTGGTGTACAGGGAGAACACTGTAAGAACGTCCCATGTTCTGAATTCTGTCGCTGTACATTTCAAAAGTGCTAAACAAATAGTTATATTGACTATGTCCGTCCTAGCTCGCTCATTAATGTCTTAATCGAAATTACGGATTGCCTCTTATCCGCTTGTCGCCCCCTTATACCATAGTTTGTACATCTCAATTGTCATTAGAAACCACATTTTTTAAAGCAAGTCAGCCATATCAGCTGTGTTTTTTTAAAGGCAGTAAATGAGGCTGAATTAATTGTTTCGCTGCCAGACAAGGCTCCGCTGATAGCCAGGTGTAGCAGTGGTAAAATGTTGGGACAGCTTTATTTAGGCCCTAACAGTTTGTGGGCACCGTTTGTCACCGTTATAGTGCAATTAATGTATTGTTTAGTGTTGTGGCTTTGCTGGAATGCATCCTACTTTTTATTTTTTTGCCCCACCAAGATTTAAATGCTGAAATCGCCACTGCATAACATAGTGGGAGATTGAGAGGGGAAGAGAAGGAGAAAAGTAGTAGAAACTGTTTTTGCACAAGCAGAATAAAGATTAATGACATATTGAAACTCATACTGTTTTTTTTACTTCTGTTTCTAGTTCTCCAGACTCCACTCTCATCTGGTTTTAGTGTTCAGGAGCATCTTGGGAAGCCGAGCTAGTGATGGGATGCTAACCAGGAATGCTTGCCAGTGGCTCTGAACAGCATCTGTCAGACAGACATCTTCAATATTCATAGCTGACATTCCTGATAGACATATTAATATCTGGGGCCAAGTTAGCCTATTTCGCCTGACAAGCTGAAAAACACAGGAACTCCAGTCAATATAGACGGGTGGGTTGTTTAGCAACAGAACCGATGCATGCGCAACCATGAAGCAAAACAGAGGGGTTGGCATAGAATCAAAGGATTGTTGACATTTTGAAGACAAATTTGAAGACATAAACACATTTGCACAACGAGCACTTGATCGCTCTCAAATACATCATTATAGTTGTTGGTTAGCTAGCTACTGATTTTTTTGCCATATTAGCATAGACATGACAAGAGTCAAAACAAGACATGGTATCAATAACAAGATACAACGAGCCACTTACGATTCCCCACATGGCAGCTTCTTGTCATTGTTGCTAGCTATCTGACCATAACACAACACATGGACTTTTTTTTGTTGTTGTCATTTAGCAGACGCTCTTATCCAGAGCGACTTACAGTTAGTAAGTGCATACATTTTCATACTGGCCCCCCGTGGGAAACGAACTCACAACCCTGGCGTTGCAAGAGCCATGCTCTACCAACTGAGCTACAGGGGACTTCTGCCCAATCGACAGGCACACATTGTTATCATGACGTTGTCAGCTAACCCATCTATTCACTTAAATGTTTGTTCATTTGCAATGTCTCAAGATTAGTCTGAAATGCCATGACAGGGAACCTTAGATGTGTCTTAGTTCTCTTTCATGGCTTCCTTTGTTACCACCATATTGGCTTTCACCCTATACCCCCCTTGATGAGTACAGGCCTCTGTACTCATTAAGAGACAAACCAGCCACTTGTGACATCCTCAATACACTTATAAAGGATATTGCACAGAGGTTAAAGCAACAACAACAAAATCCCATGACTGAAACTTTAGTCGATCTCAGATCGATTGTCTGGGGCCAAGTTAGCCTATGCATGGTCTATATTATCAGATGTACTATTATCAATAAGCATTATCACCTGTAGCCCAACTGATGAAGCATAATAGCTATAAAATGTATAAGCTGAAGCATGGGTTTTGTCCATCTGCATTTAGCCCATTGGACACAACATCCTGATTGTTATTATTAATTATTATTGTTTAATTATAAATTATTATGAATCACTTTATATTACAAAGTACGTCATTGCCTTTTTAAGACTACATTGCCACTTTAAGAGCTCTGTTGTAGTGATTGATGAGAAATACGGCTCTTTTAACGGACTCTGATCTTTTCGACTCGTACAGTCAAAATAACAAATCTTTCGACTCATTTCGTTCATTTGAGTCAGTAATGGCCAGAGCACACAGGACCCCCTACCGGCGAACGATTAACTGAAAACTCGAGAGTCATGATTCTACGAGCCTCCCGTTCACATGTCATTCAGCATAGGGGGCTTATTGGAGCTGTCATTTGTGACTGACTTATAAACGTGTGCTTTAAACAACGTACATTTGTTGATTGCTAGGCATACAAATAAGATTATTTCTTGATACATTTGAAACGAGGTCTAGCTGTGGCTGCTACGGGACTAGAGTGTCTTGGGGGAATACATTGCTTGACTGCTGTGAGAGTGATCGATTCGTTCTCGAGTTTTAGTTTGTTGAGCAGAAACTGTGTATGTTTTGGTTCTACAAAGCTGTGTCCATCATAACATTCAAGAATCAATTAATTGTAGTAATTATTGTACCATGCGATCAATTATCAGTTCTTAACGTATTTGTATTCTCTACCGTCATGATCTACTTTCCTGCGCGCATATGACAGACAGTGGTCGGAGCACGTCTCTGGAGCGTGTACTAATCCTGCTGTAGGACTAATTGCGGCCAGCACTCGCACGTCAAACGTATGAACGAGTCACTCAGAAAAACGAATCATGTCTCGAGTTAGTAAAAAGAGTCGTTCAGAAAGAACGAATCGTTCGCGAACTGCACATCACTACTCTGTTGCGCAGCTGCGCCTAACCAGTGGTTCCCAACCAGGTACTAGGACCCCTGGGGGTAGGTCTTCTTGGCCTATCCACAGGGTACTTGAGAAGACTCATGAGACCATAGGCCTACTGGTAAAATGCACGAGATGGTACCTCAGGGGTAGGGCTACTCCATGTAGAGCAAAAATCAGTTGGTGGTAAAGTAACCGAAAACGGTTGGGAACCACCGCCTAAACCATGCTTGAAACTCCGGTTGTAAAACGATGCCACATGCGCAATTGAAGGATTAGATAAATAAACGTGGTAGCAATGTAAAACTTGGATCCCCTATTTTTTTAAACAAAGGCCAAAACTGCTATTAAATACATTTGCCAGAGCTGCTTTTAAAAGTGTTTTCCCGCGATTGAATTATGAATGGTTTTGCATTGACTGCTTGTCAGAATACATGTTTCCCTCCTATGGCGCTCGCAACTTGAATTCGCCTTGAGAGGAATATTATCTCGCATAGAACACACGAAAACATAGGCTTACAATGACTTTGCCAAGAGTTACAGTGGGCTACACACTGCTGTCTGAGTTGCCGATGTGGTGCGCATTATAGACTATTTTATTCCCTTCATCTAAATATCGGAGTATCAACAATCATGCATGTCAGTTCAGTGCACACAGCTCAACAGAGAAAATACAATATTTGAGAATACATTTATGTCGTGAACAGACATGCTTATCTGTATTAGGCTGTCATCTCCAAACCACCCCCACGGAGATTTTTATTACAGATCTTTTAAAAAGTACCTCTCCAAAAACCATGACGGAAATCCGTCGCAGTTATGGATAACTTTAACCCCTGGGATATGGTTAAGGTTTACTACAGGCTTAAAAGCACTCAAATCTATTGTTGATATGGGGATCTGTTGAGGGTAAGCTGATCTAACTTGGACTGTAATTTACTAACTCAAGTAAATTACCCCGATTCTGAACTTTGACCTCTAGCGGTGCTTCAGAAGACTGTGGGGTGGGGTGGTGTGTTATCAAGAGAGGGATAAAAGAAAAGCAAGAGGTGAAGGATGGCTGTAAATCACAACCGCACCTGGCCACATAAATACCCAAAGTGCCCAGTAATGGAGGGAAGGATTGAGGGGGAGCGAGAACGTGGGTAGTGGATAGAAAAGAGACAGAAGGGTAGAAATTGAAGAGAGAGGAGAGCGAAAGAAAGGGAGAGACAGCTAGGCAGAAATTCCTCTGGCCAGATTCAGGCCAGTGGCTGCGGTCAATAGATCTGGAACACAATAACACAACCATTCCTTAATTTCCTGGACAGAACATTCAAAGCTTTATCCAGAGAACAGTATGAAAATAATTGTATGATAAAATACTACTTTCATCTTATGTTATGTATAGAAGACAGTTTCTGTTGAACCCAAGACAACCGTACAAGGGAAGCACACTCCGATTGAAAAGGCAGTATGACGTTCGTTTTATTTACCATACTATCATCAGTGATATGTACATTTGTAAAAAATATTCCGCTAAGCTCTTTGAATAGGCCATTGAAAATGAGACAAGAAACGTTGACGCAAACGTCCAGTCTGTGTTCCCCTTCAGCCTTACTACACCACATCCAGTACATGGTCAAAACATAGAGCCTAGGAAATAGCACAAATATACACTGTGGGTAGAAAGGTAATAATTTTGTAGAGCCCAAAAATAATATAAATATATACTGTACCATAACAGATGGGTTGATACTGTAAGAAACCATTGTACATGAGGATGGAATAGAGAAACTAACTCAAGTTTCAGTCATGAGGCTAGCAACTTATGACATAACTAGGCTACTTTCTAGGTAGGGTGGTTTTCCCAATGGATAGTCTTTAGCTAACACATAAACACTGTTTCTTGTCGACAGAAACAAACAGATCAATGCATACAGGGTGCTGACTGGAGAGCTGGATGAAAAAGGAACCTTATATTGACATCAATGCAGAAATGACAGAAAAATTATCTTATTGAATCTCAAGTCAGAATTGAGTCCTTTGACCATATGTTGTAGATCCAATCCCAGAGACTGACGGCAGTAGAGATGCAGAGGTCTTGTACAGCCAGGAGGGATGAATACAGAAATGTTCACGTGACATCCATATTATCTGAAGACATTCTCTCACTCTCCCTCTTTTTGCATTTAGTAATACAGTCACACAGCTCCATGCACACTCACACACTTCTCTCTCTTACACACATCCATCCATTCAAACACACACACTTCCTCATGCCGGTTCACTGCTTGGCTTTCTTCTGGATGGTGCCAACGGCGGAGATGACAGTGGTCTTGGTTCCACTGGCGGTGGTTGTCACGGAGACCACCCCTGGCAGGGTTGCCGTGGTAGTGAGCAGTGCGGGCTGGGCCAGGGTCACAGGCACTGCAGAGTCCCACTTACTCTTCCTCTTCTGAGCCTCTGCTGGGCGGGAGAGAGGACAGGAGAGAGAGAGAAATAGTGAATGGGAGAGAAGGGAAACCAGATATACTCTATAATCTTAACCTTTCTCTTTCAGGAAGGTCACAAACAAAAAATCAGTCAGGGATGATAATGTTTCTATGGGGTGTGGGGGCTCATCTCTCTGCCAGTGACAATAGAAGTGATGTTGGTGGTGATAGCTGTCTAGGGGTTGGGGCTAGGGGTTGATTTGGAACACAGTTGTGTGTGATGCAAGTGTACCTGTAGCTGTGGTAGTAGCTGTATTGGTGGTGGGAACTGCTGCATTGGTGGGGATTGTTCCCTTCTTAGTGCCCGTCACAAACTCAATCTAGGAGAGGAGAGAGAAGACAAAATACTTTATCATACTCATACTGCAGAGGGCTGAGCGGAGCCAGGCTGGGTTGTATTGACATGGTGTTGTGATGAGGCTTAATCTCTTGGCAGGACACTTCTCTGGAAGTGTGTGAAGGGAATAAACTAGAGGCAGCTGGTGGCAACATGCCCCTGACACACAGACTGATAAAGGAGAACGGCCCGGTCTGTGATTGGTAAAACAGTAAAGGAGAGGAGTAAATGTATGAACATGGTTGGCAAAGCTATTTTCTCTGAACAGGTACACTACATAGCCAAAAGTAATGTGGACACCCCTTCAAATGAGTGGTTTCGGCTATTTCAGCCACACCCGTTGCTAACAGGTAAACCATTTTTTTTAGCACACTGCCATGCAATCTCCATAGACAAACCATGGCAGTAGAATGGCCCATGAGCTCAGTGACTTAACGTGGCACCGTCATAGGATGCCACCTTTCCAACAAGTCAGTTTGGCAAATTTCTGTCCTGCTAGAGCTGCCGCGGTCAACTGTAAGTGCTGTTATTGTGAAGTGGGAATGTCAAAGAGCAACAACGGCTCAGCCGCAAAGTGGTAGGCCACACAAGCTTACAGAATGGGACCGCCGAGTGCTGAAGTGCTAAAATAGTCGGTCCTCGGTTGCAACACTCACTACCGAGTTCCAAACTGCCTCTGGAAGCAACGTCAGCACAAGAACTGTTCGTCGGGAGCTTCATGAAATAGGGTTCCAAGGCCGAGGAGCTGCACATAAGCCTAAGCTCACCATGTACAATGCCAAGCATCGGCTGGAGTGGTGTAAAGCTCGCCGCCATTGGACTCTGGAGCAGTGGAAACGCGTTCTCTGGAGTGATAAATCACGCTTTACCATCTGGCAGTCCGACTGACAAATCTGGATTTGGCGGACGCCAGGAGAACACTACCTGCCTGAATGCATAGTGCCAACTGTAGAGTTTGATGGAGGAGGAATAATGGTCTGTGGCTGTTTTAAATGGTTCGGGCTAGGCCCCTTATTTCCAGTGAAGGGAAATCTTAACACTACAGCATACAATGACATTCTAGACGATACTGTGCTTCCAACTTTGCTGCAACAGTTTGGGGAAGGCCCTTTCCTGTTTCAGCATGACAACACCCCCGTGCACAAAGCGATGTCCATACAGAAATGGTTTGTCGAGATCGGTGCAGAACAACTTGACTGGCCTGCACAGAGCCCTGACCTCAACCATATCGAATACATTTGGGATTAATTGGAACGCCGACTGCGAGCCAGGGCTAATTGCCCAACATCAGTGCCCGACCTCACTAATGCTCTTGTGGCTGAATGAAAGCAAGTCCTCGCAGCAATGTTCCAACATCTAGTGGAAAGCCTTCCCAAAAGAGTGGAGGCTGTTATAGCAGCAAAGGGGGGACCAACTGCATATTAATGCCCATGATTTTGGAATGAGATGTTCAACGTGCAGATGTCCACATACTTTTGGCCATGTAGTGTATATGTTTTTAACAGAGGTTGGGGATGGGGTTAAGAGGAGAGCAGGCATGGGTTTGTTTTGTGAGGTGGGGTTGAAAGCATGTGTATTGGAATTCAGGTTACCTCAGGTCCCCTCTTCAAGTCAATAAAAGCGCCCGTGTCCCTCACCTTCGTCCTGTCCTTCTTGGCTTTCTCCAGTTTATCCATCTCTACTTTCTGAGCTTTGGCTGCAGGGAGGGAAAGAAAACAGTTCAGCTGATAGGACTGCATCAGACTGGCAAGCACATGTAGCCACAAACAAGCACATATGCCTGTCCGCACACACACACACCAATGACTTCCTTACCCAGTGCCTCATAGTAAGAGTCCTCTGACCAGCCGTGAGGATCAAACATGTCTTTAGGGTAGTTGGTTCCCAGTTCATCAATGCCACAGAACTGGATGAGTTTCTCATAGATACTGCAAAGACACACATAGACATGTCAAGAAAAGTATCTGGAAAAGCAACCCGCATATCATCGATGTGATCATAACTCTGTGTGTGTGCCATGAATTAGTGTGCGTGTGTGTACCTGGGATTCCTGAACTCTTTCTTCTTCTGAATGTGGTTGTTTGTGTCAAAGTCTCCATGTAGATTCTTTTCATACAGCTTCTGGATCTTCTCCTGTTGACAGAAAATCAACATATCTGATCAATATAACATAAGAGTCAAATCCCCACTAGTATAGTTTTTACTACAAGCACTTTGTTCGTCTGGTGTGATGTGTATGTCTCACAAGCCTAGATATTTCAGTAAAGCCAGGTGCAGTTGTCCATAACTGGAACTGAACTTGCGACATTCGGCCTCCAAAGTTACCAGTGTATGAACCGCACCAAATGTCTGGTCAATTGGTAGAGGCGTAATGAGCTAGCTTAGCCACTACAGTGTGATAATCGATGAGCAACAAGGCAGCTGAACTTGGCAAAGGCTGAAGCCAGGGTCTTTACTCCAGCCTTGACCCATATATCTGACTGGGCTCTGAATGGAGCCATTGTGTGTCTGCAGTTTCTGATACCTTAGAGCAATATTTGGCAACCAGGCTCCAGGGAGACGCAGGGAGCTGGGCCTGTCAACTGGAGCCAGGGGTATCCACAATTATAAATTAGCCTTAAACGGACAAGATGGAGGATTGGAATGTTATGGCACTACTGTATCTACAGTACTCAAAACAGTAAGTTCAATTAGGCCAAATAGTAGGATAACAGTAGCGTTACGTTTATTTTTTGAGATACAATGGTAATGAGGCCCGTTACAATAATGAGGCATACTAACAACACAGACCACACCCTGGCTACTCATTGGCCTGAGTCTTAACTGTCCCCAGCCCTTCCTGTGTGTGTGTGCTGGTGTTTGTTGCAGCCTAAGGCAAGGTAGTGATTCATCATCAGTGATTCACCTGATAACGAATATACCTAGTCAGTTGCACAACTGAATTCATTCCACCAAAATGCGTCTTCCGCATTTAACCCAACCCCTCTGAATCAGAGATGTGCGGGGGGGGGGGGCTGCCTTAGTCGACGTCATCGGCTCCCGGCGAGCAGTTGTTGTGGGTTAACTGCCTTGCTCAAGGGCAGAACTGAATATTTTTTTCCACCTCAGGGATTTCAACCAGCAACCTTTTGGTTACTGGTCCAACGCTCTTAACCGCTAAGCTATTAAGTAGGTGTGTGTGCACACTATAAAGTGCTGAGCTGTTCACTCACCAAGTCAGTCATCCAAACCGTCACCTGCCTCAACACCTACCCAACAAGAACTACATTTACTGATCTAAGTGTTGCATATTTCTCCCTCATGGTTAGGGGTAAGATTTGGGGCGGATACGCCGATCCTAGATCTGTGCATGATGGCAATATCTACCGGGAATGCCAACTTATTTCTGAGGAAAACCTTGGACCAAAGTAAGGATTGAGAGACCAGAGACTGTGTCTAGAGGGATGGAATGTGGACTCTGACAGAGAGCTGACCACTGAGATGTTTTGTCTCTCTTCCTACATGTTGATGTTATTCTCCCACTGGAGGATTCTGCTCTCCAACAGTCTGGAACGTTCTTGAACATTTACCAACAACTGCAGAACACTGCTTGTCTGGCAGCTGGCATTGAACTCTGCTCAGACATTGGAAGGAGGGGCAATTTACAACCTGGAAACCAATATCTCAGACACACACCTTATCCGTTCTCATACCCTCGCCGATTTCAGTACATCATACACTTACCTGTCCGCTAGGGGTGTAACTGTTCACACCGAACCTTTCAGTACGGGGACCTCGGTTCAGTCCGCACTGTGATGCTAAATTAATACATAGAAAAATATAGAAAAAATAAAAAACACGTGGGCCTCGACCGGGAGGCGCACAATTGGCCCAGCGTCGTCCGGGTTAGGGGAGGGTTTGTCCCATCGCGCTCTAGTGACTCGTGGCCGGCTGGGCGCATGCACGCTGACTTCGGTCGGCAGTTGTACAGTGTTTCCTCTGACACATTGGTGCGGCTGGCTTCCGGGTTAAGCGAGCAGTGTGTCAAGAAGCAGTGCGGCTTGGCAGGGTCATGTTTCGGAGGATACAATACTCTTGACTTTCGCTTGTCCCGAGTTCATACGGGAGTTGCAGCGATGGGACAAGACTAACTACCAATTGGATATCACAACATTTTTGGGGAAAAAAAGGGGTAAAACCAAAGTGTTGGTATTTCAGACACGCTCCTATAGACTATACCTACGCTGCATTGTATGCCTCAATTAAATCTGAGCAGTGTTTTTTTTGTGGCTATTCTGTTAAAACTAAAGCCTATGCGCACTTTGTAATCAAAATTCTAATCTTAAGTGGCAGTCCTTTTGGGAGCCGCAGCCTGGAACTAGTTCTGTACGATGGCGAGTGGTGGGGTCGATAAACCAGTTTGGGAACATTTTGTCTTCCCAGTAGTTTACAGCTGCGATGGACAGAGAGAGTATGTCGCCACTGCTCAACGAGAATAACCTATGCCAGTGGTTCCCAACTCCAGTCCTCGAGTACCCCCAACAGTTACACACTTTTATTGTAGCCCCAGACAAGAACACCTGATTCAACTTGTCAACTAATCATCAGGCCCTCAATGAGTTGAATCAGGTGTTTTGTGTCTGGGGCTACAGCAACGTGTGCTGTTGGGGGTACTCGAGGAGTTGGGAACCACTGGACTATGCAGCGGCCAACACCTCAAGCATGTTTTTACACCGACATCACCCCAGTATTCCTACCACAAAACGGAAACACACACACAAAAACATTTAGTCTCCCCTCTGCATTCAAGCAGCCCTTCACAGCTGATTCTGAGCAGGAAAAAGAAATTACAAGAGCGATAGGTATGTTTATAGCCGTGGATATGCGCCCATTCTCAGTGGTTGAGAAGAATAGGAGGTTTCAGCAACCTGTGGAAGTGCTTGAGCCACGTTACGAACTTCACTCTCCTGTACCCATTTCAGCAAACAGGTACTCCCCGCTCTATAGAAGCAGGCTAAAGCTGAAGTTGTCAATGAATTGGCTAATGCACCCTGTGTTTTGCTTACTACAGATGGATGGACCTCCAGGGCTACAGAGAGCTACTTGACAGTGACAGCCCATCACATTACCCCAGAGTGGGAAATGAGAAGTACGTGCCACAGGCACGCTCCCTTTATGAGTCACACAAGTGTGCATAATTTATCTCTTTGTAAGAAAACATTATAGCATAGGCCTATACAATGTCTAAGCCACGTTTACATATTGATTTCACACGCATATTGCACTTTATTGTGGTGTTATTGTTGATGAGTAATCGTGTTTTCATTTAAGAAAATACAAAGTGTTGGTATTCCGGATGGTGCTCTCATCAGGCATTATATGACTCATGATCATATATTGAATCAGGAATACCAACACTTTGGATTTTCTTAAATAAACTAAAATTAACTACAGTAACTGTTTGCATTACATTTTTCCCGCTGTACCGAAACGTGACCCGAAAAACCGCAATACCTACCGAACCATGGGTTTGGTGAACCGTTACACCCTTACTGTCCTCCCTCCAGTAGTCTGCTACTTGTTGACAGAGAGCTTACCGTGTCACTGCTGACTATGGTGGTACTGTAGGCCAGTGTGACAAATGTGAAAGTGATGGTTGTTTAGACCAGGTGACCAGACCAGTTTAGACAGAGGAATTTCACAGGTATGTCAGACGTGCAAGAGTGGTAGTCATATAGCACAGGTAAGTTCAGGTGAATTGAGAGACAGGTAAGTAGAGATACAGTACATAACTATGGAAGTAGGGGTGTGAGTGGAAGACAAAGCCCAGGTATGTGTCTGTGTACCTGTAGGTGACTGGAGCAGCGTCCTGGTGGTTCAGGGGGGATCCGGATCTTGTCAGGCGACATGTTCCTCACCTTCTCTGAGAACAGAGCTGGGGCAGAGATACAGAGAGAAACAACCAATCAGATGAGCAGACTACAGACAGATATAGATGCTGAATAAATGCCCATGACAGTCTAGTAGCTACTTTTTATCTTTAGAGGTGAACCCAGAAATTATGTCTGTAAAGTCAGTGAGTGTTGAATCAACATGTTAGATGCATTCCTAAGCTGACGGTTGTTCTGTGTGTGTGTGTGTGTAGGAGCATCTGGTCCTGGTACGAGACCTAGGCACCACACCCAGTCAGGGAGTGTCTGTTGGGGCTTGTGTAGAGAAGCGAGGCTCCCCTTTTTTCCAACTCTTCCCTCCTTTCTCTACCTTCTCTTCCTTTCTTTCTCTGACTCCAGGCCAGACATTCTTCAGTGTCACTAGAGCCTCATCAGCGGGAGAGCATTTTACAGGTCACTCAGCACCGTCAATCTAATACAGGCTTTAAAATCAGGGGTGTTGAACTCATTTTGCCCCGGGGGCCGCATTCAGTTGTCATTGAGGTCCGGAGGGCCACACTGAAAATTGGTATATATCCTTGCTGTCAAAACGTGCAAAACATTGTCCTCTATCCATCGTTTTTGGAACTGTCGATGCACCCTGACTGTCTAGTGACTATTAGCGAGCTGGACAGTCAAGAAACCAACCTGATCTGTTTCAAGTCAGGATTTGACGTAATGTGGATGAACGTCTAATTTTGACCCATTAATTCCACGTGGTTACAGGGTTCAAGAAATTGTAGGAATATAGGTCCATTATCATTTCTACCCAGTTTCAATTTGGTTTTAGTATTTTTAAGTTTGTTTCCCCCCGGATCCAGCCCGCATGTTTGACACCCCTGCTTTAAAAATCATTGAGAAAAAAATGTCTGCGTACATTTTGTATGTGAGAACAGTTAAGTAGGGTCCTTTAGCCTGTATTGTAGGTCACATACAGTATGTTGTGTAGTGAACCAGCTACTCCATGCACCCAACACACTCCACTTCAGTCCTTACAGGTCGTGTGATCCCTCTATAATCTTCCCCTCCTCTCAATCGCTCTCTTTACTGTTTTCCCTTTCTTTTCCAACTCATCTCACCTCACTCTTCTTCTACTCGTTTTGTTTGATGCCCAGGTGAAACCAAAAACAAACCCACACCCCTCACACTACCCTGCTTGAACTTACCCTGGCCTCTCCTCCCCCACCCCCCTCCTGTCTTGTGTCTGTAGGTGAGAGGGGTATGACACTCCTACAGGGAGGGGCATTACCCTCTGCTACTGGCAAACTGACCAAGTCAAATCAAATCAAATTGTATTGGTCACGTGTTTAGCAGATGTTATTGCGGGTGTAGCGAAAAGCTTGAGCTTCTAGCTCCGACAGTGCAGTAATATCTAACAAGTAATATCTAACAATTTCACAACATATACCCAACACACACAAATCTAAGTAAGGAATGGAATTAAGAAAATATACATATATGACGAGCAATGACAGAGCGGCATTGACTAAGATACAGTAGAATAGTATAGAATACAGTATATACACATTTGAGATGAGTAATGCAAGATATGTAAACATTATTAAAGTGACTAGTGTTCCATTTCTTAAAGTGGCCAGTGATTTCTAGTCTGTCTATAGGCAGCAGCCTCTAAAGTGCTAATGATGGCTGTTTAACAGTCTGATGGCCTTGAGATAGAAGCTGTTTTTCAATCTCTCGGTCCCAGCTTTGATGCACCTGTACTGACCTCGCCTTCTGGATGATAGCGGGGTGAACAGGCAGTGACTCGGATGGTTGATGTCCTTGATGATCTTTTTTGGCATTCCTGTGCTGTAGGTGTCCTGGAGGGCAGGTAGTTTGCCCCCTGTAATGCGTTGGGCAAAACGCACCAACCTCTGGAGAGCCCTGCATTTGCGGGCGGTGCAGTTGCCGTACCAGGCGGTGATACAGCCCAACAGGATACTCTCAATTGTGCAACTGTAAAAGTTTGTGAGGGTTTTAGGTGCTAAGCCAAATTTCTTCAGCCTCCTGAGGTTGAAGAGGCTCTGTTGCGCCTTCTTCACCACTGTCTGTGTGGGTGGACCATTTCAGTTTGTCAGTGATGTGTACGCCAAGGAACTTGAAGCTTTCCACCTTCTCCACTGCGGTCCAGTCGATGTGGATAGGGGGGTGCACCCTCTGCTGTTTCCTGAAGTCCACGATCATCTCCTTTGTTTTGTTGATGTTGAGTGAGAGGTTATTTTCCTGGCACCACACTCCCAGAGCCCTCACCTCCATGTAGGCTGTCTCGTCTTGTTGGTAATCAAGCCTACTACTGTTGTGTCGTCTGCAAACTTGATGATTGAGTTGGAGGCGTGCTTGGCCACGCAGTCATGGGTGAACAGGGAGTACAGGAGTGGGCTGAGCACGCACCCTTGATGAGCTTGGAGGGTACTATGGTGTTGAATGCGGAGCTATAGTCAATGAACAGCATTCTTACATAGGTATTCCTCTTGTCCAGATGGGATAGGGCAGTGTGCAGTGTGATGGCAATTGCATCGTCTGTGGATCTATTGGGGCGGTAAGCAAATTGAAGTGGGTCTAGGGTGACAGGTAAGGTAGAGGCGATATGATCCTTGACTAGTCTCTCAAAGCACTTCATGATGACAGAGGTGAGTGCTACAGGGCGATAGTCATTTAGTTCAGTTACCTTTGCTTTCTTGGGTACAGAAACAATGGTGGCCATCTTGAAGCATGTGGGGACAGCAAACTGGGATAGGGAGAGACTGAATATGTCTGTAAACACACCAGCCAGCTGGTCTGCGCATGCTCTGAGGACGCAGCTAGGGATGCCATCTGGGCCGGCAGTCTTGCGAGGGTTAACACACTTAAATGTCTTACTCATGTTGGCCTCGGAGAAGGAGAGCCCACAGTCATTGGTAGTGGGCCACGTCGCTGGCACTGTGTTATCCTCAAAGCGGGCGAAGAAGGTGTTTAGCTTGTCCGGAAGCAAGACGTCGGTGTCGGCGACGTGGCCCGTTTTCCTTTTGTAGTCCGTGATTGTCTGTAGACCCTGCCACATACGTCTCGTGTCTGAGCCGTTGAATTGAGACTCCACATTGTCTCTATACTGACGCTTTGCCTGTTTGATTGCCTTGCGGAGTGAATAGCTACACTGTTTGTATTCTGCCATATTCCCAGTCACCTTGCCATGGTTAAATGCAGTTCACGGACAGGCGTACACACACACAGTAAACATAAAGAAACCATAACAGTCATGATGTACTCAGTGACAAGCATACACTAAACACAAATATGCACTTGGCTGAACAGTAGAAAATACCATGGCCTGGGGTAGGGAAAAACCTGACCAGGCATGTCTGATGAGTCATGGGCCCTAGCATGAGCATGTGTTGCTTTACATGAACACAGGTTGCGATGTGTGTGTGTGGCAACAGGCACATAGCAGACATACTGTACAGTGATAGTGGTCTGAATTAGGGATGAATGGCAGGAACCCGGTTACCGAGATTTATCACCCAAAACCACTCTCCTTTCCCGGAAGACATAACTGCGAGAAACCGGTAAATTATAATAAATTATTTATATGAACAGCATGACCTGAAATAGAACTGTTAAATTATACGTGATGTCTAAATCTGGCTTCTCTGCGGCCTTCTCTCTGCATGATGAATCATCAATGCTCAGGGTGGGGACAGACAGCCCATCTCAGTATGGAGCGCAGTTCACAATACATGTAGACCTATCACCAACATGGTAACTTTTCTTCTTGTGACAGGTAGGTCTACATTTGCTGCAGCATAGCCTATGCTACAGTAATATAAGGACCGAATGTGCGTCTAACTTACCCATCTCCATCTTGTTTTTGGGGGTCACATTTTTTAAAACAGTAAATACATTTTTTAAATTGCAGCTGCAGAGTTTTAAAATAGCCTATCACTTGAATATCGTTGGTTTAAATCAGTGCACGCGCAAGAACTCTCACGCAGTCTCTCTCTCTCCATCACTTCCATTCAAATTACATCCAAAATAGATAATCCTGTTCAAGATTGATATCTAGCAGGCCTAGCCTTCCTCGTTCAGGTAATACATTAAATGCAGTATTAGCCTTATATTTAGCTAATGAATGATGGGTCTCTTGCGCAATATGCACGCACCTGTGCTCTGCTGGCCTCTCCTTATAAAACGCTCCTTAGCTCTTGGAGTCCCATGCAGGAAAAGCTAGACTAGTACAGCTTGCTGGACATTAACCAAGACTATTCGAATGTTAAATACAGCAGCCAATAGAATTCATGGGTGGTTTGAAAGAAGTGCGAACGCTTGATGGCGGTAGGCTATTCAGTTATTTATTTATTCAGACCCATAGCCATTCAATCTTCATGAAGAGAAGTGAAAGCCTTCTGCATCTAATTCTAGTCCTATATTATTCAAGCATGTCATTAAAATGATGACTATAAGGACAACAACACGTATTTAATTTAACTGTTGAAAGCGAGGAAGGAATGAAGCAACACTAGAGAGAGAGAAAGAGGTAGGCAGGCTAATAACACTAGAGGAAATATTCTGAAAGGTATAAATGCGTCAGCCTACTAATTATACAAATAGGCCCCATTATATTTCAAAATTAAAATCAAAATTCGCTAGCCTATACTTGTAACTTTGTAGTCAGCACGTGCTGCACCAGAATAGCATGTTCTCTCCCTGCTTTATCATGGTTTGAACGAGGTGTGTAATTCCAGTCTGTATAATACAATAGACTATAATACAATACAGTAATACAGTTCACACTCAAAAAGATTAGCCTACTGTTGCATGTTTCATTTACTTACCCAAGAGAGTATGAGTGTGTGTGTGTGTGTATATATATATATATATATATATATATATATATATATATATATATATATATATATATAGCTACATGACGTGCTTTTATGTTTTTCTGTTGTGCGTAATGTGCAATAGCCTATATACAGTGAGGGAAAAAAGTATTTGATCCCCTGCTGATTTTGTACGTTTGCCCACTGACAAAGAAATTATCAGTCTATAATTTTAATGGTAGGTTTATTTGAACAGTGAGAGACAGAATAACAACAACAAAAATCCAGAAAAACGCATGTCAAAAATGTTATAAATTGATTTGCATTTTAATGAGGGAAATAACTATTTGACCCCCTCTCAATCAGAAAGATTTCTGGCTCCCAGGTGTCTTTTATACAGGTAACGAGCTGAGATTAGGAGCACACTCTTAAAGGGAGTGCTCCTAATCTCAGTTTGTTACCTGTATAAAAGACACCTGTCCACAGAAGCAATCAATCAATCAGATTCCAAACTCTCCACCATGGCCAAGACCAAAGAGCTATCCAAGGGTGTCAGGGACAAGATTGTAGACCTACACAAGGCTGGAATGGGCTACAAGACCATCACCAAGCAGCTTGGTGAGAAGGTGACAACAGTTGGTGCGATTATTCGCAAATGGAAGAAACACAAAAGAACTGTCAATCTCCCTCGGCCTGGGGCTCCATGCAAGATCTCACCTCGTGGAGTTGCAATGATCATGAGAAAGGTGAAGAATCAGCCCAGAACTACACGGGATGATCTTGTCAATGATCTCAAGGCAGCTGGGACCATAGTCACCAAGAAAACAATTGGTAACACACTATGCCGTGAAGGACTGAAATCCTGCAGCGCCCGCAAGGTCCCCCTGCTCAAGAAAACACATATACAGGCCCGTCTGAAGTTTGCCAATGAACATCTGAATGATTCAGAGGAGAACTGGGTGAAAGTGTTGTGGTCAGATGAGACCACAATCGAGCTCTTTGGCATCAACTCATCTCGCCCTGTTTGGAGGAGGAGGAATGCTGCCTATGACCCCAAGAACACCATCCCCACTGTCAAACATGGAGGTGGAAACATTATGCTTTGGGGGTGTTTTTCTGCTAAGGGGACAGGACAACTTCACCGTATCAATGGGACGATGGTTGGCGCCATGTACTGTCAAATCTTGGGTGAGAACCTCCTTCCCTCAGCCAGGGCATTGAAAATGGGTTGTGGATGGGTATTCCAGCATGACAATGACCCAAAACACACGGCCAAGGCAACAAAGGAGTGGCTCAAGAAGAAGCACATTAAGGTCCTGGAGTGGCCTAGCCAGTCTCCAGACCTTAATCCCATAGAAAATCTGTGGAGGGAGCTGAAGGTTCGAGTTGCCAAACGTCAGGCTCGAAACATTAATGATTTGGAGAAGATCTGCAAAGAGGAGTGGGACAAAATCCCTCCTGAGATGTGTGCAAACCTGGTGGCCAACTACAAGAAACGTCTGACCTCTGTGATTGCCAACAAGGGTTTTTCCACCAAGTACTAAGTCATGTTTTGCAAAGGGGTCAAATACTTATTTCCTCATTAAAATGCAAATCAATTTATTACATCTTTGACATAACATTTTTTGGATTTTTTTGTTGTTATTCTGTCTCTCACAGTTCAAATAAACCTACCATTAAAATTATAGACTGATCATGTCTGTCAGTGGGCAAACGTACAAAATCAGCAGGGGATCAAATACTTTTTTCCCCTCACTGTAACATATACATTCAGGTCCATAAGTATTTGGACAGTGACACAATTTGCTTAATTTTGGCTCTGTACGCCACCACAATGGATTTGAAAGGAAACAATCAAGATGTGCTTTAAGTGTAGACTTTCATCTTTAATTTAAGGAGGGTGTTCTTGATCTGGCCAACTGTTGTGAAGGGGTTTTTCTTCACCAGGGAAATAATTATTCTGTCATCCACCACAGTTGTTTTCCGTGGTCTTCCGGGCCTTTTGGTGTTCCTTTTGGTGTTCTTTCTTTTTAAGAATGTACCAAATAGTTGATTTGTCCACACCTAATGTTTTTGCTCTCTCTCTGATGGGTTTGTTTAGATTTTTCAGCCTAATGATGGCTTGCTTCACTGGCAGTGACAGCTCTTTGGACTTCATATTGAGGGTTAACAGCAACAGATTCCAAATGCAAAATGGCACACTTGAAATCAACGCTAGACCTTTTACCTGCTTACTTGTAAATGAACTAACGAGGGAATAACACACACCTGGTCATGGAACAGCTGAGCAGCCAATTGTCCAATTACTTTTGGTGCCTTAAAAAGAGGATGTAAATACCCTCAAATGAAAGCTGAAAGTCTGCACATTCAGCTCACATTCATTATTTAATTTCAACTCCAATATGCTGTGGTAGACAGCTAAAATAATAATAACTTGGTCAATGTCCAAATATTTATGGACCTGACTGTATATATTGGATCACCGCACAATCATTTGGCTTTTTTGGGCTTGGGCTCATTAAATGTCTAATGTAGGGCTCATAAAATGTATTTAATGTATGGCTCATCAGGCTCAGGTAGCATCAGCCTTGAATTTTTGACCAAAGCGCTTATCTATGTATATGCTTTATAATGCTTTTGAATGACACTTACGGTTTTGGCGGCAAATACCAGGTTATCAGAAAAATGATTTATTCTCAGGATGGAACATTTGTAAAATACCGGGAAAATATTCAACCCTAGTCTGAATCACAGCTCTCTCTAAACCACAAGAGGCCCCAGCCCTGCATGATCACCTCTGACTAGGCCTACCTAAAGCTACTTCTGAATAACAGTAGCTTTAACAGCGGTTTGATATAGCAAGATATGAATAACTTGCGTTAATATGAAAACGTATTTGTTTTGGTGGATGTTCAAAGTTTGTAAAGCAATAATATGGCAACTGCATGGTCAAGTCCAAAGTGTAGTCTATATTCAGCAGATAGACACAGAGTAGCTGCAAAAATGGACATTGAAAGGCAGGCAGACAGACAGTGAGAGCCAGTGAGATAGAGAGACATGTGGCTGTTACTGCCAGACAACCAGAGAGGAAACAGACAGAGCTCAAGTCTCATTCAACAGCCAGCCAGACAATTCAACTCCCACCATTAAACAGACAAAGCCCATCTTCATGCTGCTTGCTGGCCTGGCGCTGCATGAGACCTTTAGACCAGAACTCTGTGACATTTCCTCCGAACAGAAGCCAACCCAGTGGAACAGACAACAACAGACTGGGCCCAGGGATGGAATGTACAGTGACCATGATGATGAGTCACAGTTAAGACACTGGACAGTGGCTGTGTTTTTCCAAAAGCTTTTGTCAATTTCCCGGTCTGTTTTGTTGGGAGTAATATGGAGAGGGGGTTGTACAGAGCATGTATGCCATTCTATTTCGGCGTTAGCAGGCTCTAGTATACACTGCAGAGGAAGTGAAGGTACGATGGGTACGTACTACTCTTTTATGGCCTAATACTGTAGAGCAGTGTATCAGCCAGGGCCACTCCCTGTTCTCTCCTGTCCTCCTGCTGCTGCTTTTGTTACACTCATATCCTGTCTTGCTCCGAGCACACACACACATACCTTCCGTCAGCTAATGCTGCACCAACGCCCACCGCTTGTGTACCTGCGAGTGAGTATATGTTGACCACATGACTCACAGGCCCAACGGGTGTATGACCATTTCCTGTGGCACATTTATAACCTGAATGACCCTGTCTGAAGACAAACAAAGACGTATTGTACTGCTTAGGGTTGGGCGATATTCCGACAGCATCGTTAATCGACGATGATTGGTAGCCACGACATCGTGATGTGACAGACGATGGTTTAGCCCATTTGAACTTAGCTGGCACTGTGCAGTAAAGAACAGAGTTGTGCAGTGCACAGCAGGGACAAGTGACACTTGTTTCTATTTTCTATAACCTATTTAAATAAATATGTTCGATACAGAACGCAAAAGAAGAATGTAGGCCAGACCGAGCAGAGAATTCCACCAAAGCAGCACAAAATGTCCAGTCAGAAAATATTGTTTCTCTCTCTGTCTATCAGATGCATGGGCATTAGGCAACTATTTTTTAAATAAAGGACACTCCTTAACTATCTTGTGTCTAGCAGTTTTAAAAGACGTAGCCTATATTCCCTTCTCTCTCCATTCGATAGGCTATGAATATGACTTTGGGCTATAGGCTACGCTTTCATAGTTTTATGCATTGCTTTCGCAACAATGAATTTAACGGAGTTAAATCTCAAAAAGTTGTTTGAATTGCCTAGACATTTAAGGTAGCCAGGGGACTAATAATGAGAGAGAAAAACAGTATCAATAGCCTATAGAAAAATCAAATTACAAGTTTAATCAGGTTTAAGCTTATTAAGAAATAAATTATCCACGCGGGTTGGGAAAATCCCTCCATGCGAGGTTGAAAATAGGGGTGTGAACGTTTAAATGAAATTGAATCATTCATGTTAAAAATCCCTAAACAAAGAAAAGTGTTTTTTCCACCACAAAATGCATTTATCAAGATCATTAATGGATGTATCCAAGGTAAAACAGATGAAAATGCACATAGTTTGCTGTCATTTCAGCTGCTTGATGTGATTGTGTGTTAGCTTTAGTTGGCTAGCTAGCTAGCTAGCCAACAAAGGAGAAGTAACGTTAGCCTTGCTATCCTCCATAACCATATTTTATTGACTGACTCGACAATCAGCTGGGTGTTGCCTATTTATTAAATATTTATTACCGGTAAATCATTATTATTAAAAGGTTATTTTCTCTCATCATCATGATGATTTCTTTAGCAAAGCAACATGGAATGAATTGAATGAACGACTGGGTCAAAACATGAGAATATAATTAACGACCAGCCTGTTTGGTTAGCAACTTCAGAACTAACAACTGGCTTTTGCCCGGACTATATCGTCTGGTGGTAGGATGAAATATACCGAATTTACTAATTAAAATAAAGTTAATGAAAAGATGTTGTTTATCTTTTTTAAAATATGTTGGCAACCACTTCATAAAAGCAATAAGAGCCTCGAACTTGGGAATTATCATGTGATAACTCCCTTGGCTTCGCCTCGGGCCTAAGAACAGCCCTTAAGGGCCATCCACACCAAGGCAATAACCGTAACGATATCTATAACGATAAATTATACATAACTAAACGTTGGCAAGCATTCACACCAGCAGACCGTTTATCGTTCTGCAGTACACCTGTCAATCAACTGATCAACACATCCTACTGCGCACTGTAGGCCTATTAATAAGGTGGTACCACAGACCATTCAGTGCTTTCAGGCTGTGTTCATTGTCATAGTGACCACTGGTACTCGGGCCGAGTCCACTTCAGCTTATCCGGCCAGATGAACTTTTTCAGGATAGGGCCATTTGAGGTTATTCGGCAGGTGCTGAAATACCAATATTAAAAAACTAAGAATTGTGATATTTGGGCCAAGAAACACGAGCAATGGACATTAGACCGGTGGAAATGTGTCCTTTGGTCTGGAGTCCAAATTGGAGATTTTTGGTTCCAACCGCTTTGTCTTTGTGAGACGCGGTGTGGGTGAACGGATGATCTCCGTATGTGTATTTCCCACCATAAAGCATGGAGGAGGTGGTGTTATGGTGTGGGGGTGCTTTGCTGGTGACACTGTGATTTATTTAGAATTCAAGGCACATTTAACCAGCATGGCTACCACAGCATTCTGCAGTGATACGCCATCCCATCTGATTTGGGCTTAGTGCGACTATCATTTGTTTTTCAACAGGACAATGACCCAACACACCTCCAGGGTATGTAAGGTCTATTTTACCAAGGAGAGTGATGGAGTGCTGCATCAGATGACCTGGCCTCCACAATCCTCCGACCTCAACCAAATTGAGATGGTTTGGGATGAGTTGGACCGCAGAGTGAAGGAAAAGCAGCCAACAAGTGCTCAGCATATGTGGGAACTCCTTCTAGACTGTTGGAAAAGCATTCCAGGTGAAGATGTTTGAGAGAATGCCAAGAGTGTGCAAAGCTGTAATCAAGGCAAAGGGGGGCTATTTGAAGAATCTTTCTATTTAGATGTGTTTAACATTTTTTTGGTTACTACATGATTCCATATGTGTTATTTCATAGTTTTGATGTCTTCACTATTCTTCTACAATGTAGAAAATAGTAAAATTTAAGAAAAACCCTTGAATGAGTAGGTGTTCTAAAACTTTTGACCGGTAGTGTAGGTCTGTGTCTTATTTCAATATCCTACTACAATCCACCAGGATTTACAAAACCCTATTTTTATCCTATTTATTTCCATCAATAATTAGTAAAAAATGATTGCACCGGAGAATATGACAATTATATTTTCCATTAAAGCTTTTAAGCAATTAACAATGCGTGCAGTAAGTTTATTTTAGTTTCAGTAGCTAAATGAGCTAAAACTTGGATTGGAATCGGTCTGTCTCGCAGTAATAGATCTCTGTACGCGGACTGCCTGCTTCCTCTTGCTCAGAGTTTCTCGAAATGTTTCTCGAAATGTACACAACATATTAGACTGCTAAGTGGTAGTCCCTGCTCTCCTGCAAACTTGTATTGTTTTTGTAAGTAAAGTGGTGGTTTGTTGGGGAGAAGAACATCAAGGAAAGTTTAGCTAGCTAGCTGGCTAATTTTAGCTAGTTGGCTAATTTTAGCTAGTTAACGTTAGCTTTCTGGCTAATCCTCCATTGACATGGTAAGCTAGCTAACGTTTTGACATTTTGATATCTGTTTAGTTAATGTGTGTATGTGTGTGAGCGATGATCACAATAACTTTACAAAACATTGTCATGTCAACATTGTGTCATGCTAGCTGTGTGTGTGTGTGTGTGTGAGTGAGAGAGATGGTTGAAAACACATTTAGGAAACATTGAGTGAGTGAGACATTTTACGCTAGCCTAATTCTTGAAATGTGTACCCCCCAATATGGATGTGAAGTTTTTCATGATTCATCAGGGAACCTTGTATTTTGTATTTGACAATAATATACATTTTGCCTATCCCTGCTCCCCCTCAACACTCATTCTAACGTTACAACTGTCAACTGCCCTTTTCAATTCTTGATTCTCTTTTTTGCAGGAATCTTCTAGCTTGGATGGAAGAGGGAACAAAGGGAAGGAGTACAGAAGTTATTCAGCCAGCTGACTAAGAAATCTAAATAGCCTATGTTTTGCTCTCTCTAGCTCTCTCCATATGTCTGCCTGACTGCCAGATTGCTTAAGGGGAAAATAGTCAATGTACTTGCTAGGCTAAGTCTAATTTAGTGAAGACCTTAAGTAATGGTTAATCATGATTTGTCTAGGTCTCTACAGTTCCTGAACATGTCAATGACCTGATGCATGGTCTCTACAGCAGTGCTTGTCCACCCACTCAGTTACCTATTCTGCCACATCCCAGGGAAAGGAGAGAGCAGCACCACCACCATTCCTTAAATCCATAGTAAAGTTATGAGCAAAATGTATTTTTTCTTCTGTTTGATACTCTGATCTTCAATGTGTATTGATTGCTACTAGCCAGCTTTGTAAGAGCTATGCTGATGATCATTAATGTTTTTTTCTCTGCAACTGGATTCTCCAAGAGACATGCTATTCAGCTGCCCATGATTGCCTTACACTCTTAGAAAAAAAGTGCTACCTAGAACCTAAAAGGGTTCATCGGCTGTCCCCTTAGGAGAACCCTTTTGGTTCCAGGTAGAATTCCTTTGGATTCCATGTAGCACCCTTTCCACAGAGGGTTCTACATGGAACCCAAACGAGTTCAACCTGGAACCCAAAAGTGTTCTCCTATGGGGACAGCCGAATAACCCTTTTGGAACCCTTTTTTCTATGAGTGTAGTGTAAGTAAATACAATTGAAACAGCACTGCTTCTAATAATATTAGTTTGTAAAGCAAATAAAACCCTATTTTAACTCGCCTTTTTTTTCTCCAGGTGCAAAACCCTTGTGTCCTGATTCAACACACACCTCCCTTGGTGAGTCAAGTAAAGTTTCTCCCATTTCTCTCTAGCTTATTCTCCCTGTCGCTCACTCAAACTGACACGTGCGCAGATGCAGAGAAGAGGAAGAGATTTGCCAATTACACCCATTTCTAACAATGTTTGACATACAACTTTTGAAAAATATAATATTTTATTGTCTCTTTAATGCCACTTTAATTTACCTTTCTTGGGGGAACTTATGTCCGGGAAATGTCCTCAGGATTATGGAGCGGTGCGTTTATAAAAAGTTGTTTGAATATTACAACATGTATT